GGACTCCGTCCAGCTGTGTGTGTCATCCGACTTGGTGACCTCTTCCCTCTAAGTCCCCCTTTAACTGGGGTGAGGAGCCAAGCAAGTATGGGGCAAATCCCCACTTCAAGTAGTTACACAATGAACTATGGGTACTGAGCAACGTTAAGAAACTCCAGTCTTGCAAAATGAGTTAAACTTTCGTGATCCAGCCATTTCGAAGGGCACAATAAAGGCTAAGTGCACTCAGCCATCTTGCGGCAGAGCAGTGCACCTGCCAAGTCTAGTACTTTTTCTGCTTGCTCACCCGGCCTGTTTTCATAACTGTAAAGATTTCCTTTGGGCGGTCCTTCTCTGCCAGGGTTGGTGGGGGCTGCACAATTCTCAGGAGACACCCCAACTCCCGAGAAGTTCCAAGACAGGGGCCTCTACACCTTGAGAGGCCTTTAACACTGTAGCTCCACAACCCCCCAGGAAGCTCAGATTTACAACTTGCCTTGCTTCACACCAGGGGGCAGTGTCCGCCTGCAGACAGCAACTTCCCAAGGACAAGTGTGACCTGGAGGGCCCCACTCAGGTAACGGGGGAAGGATTACAAAAATTCTCCTGTTTATCATAAACTCTCAACAGACCCACCTTCCAGGCCGGTGCCTAAGGTCCACCTAACTAGACTTCAAGAAGCAGAAACTTGTTCAGACTAGCAGAGAAGCCTGGTAGGGGGGGTCACACGTCTGGTGCATGGTTCTCCTCCCTGCTGAGCCTCTGATAGTGCTGAGGGCTAATCTTCATGGTTGTGATGCAATAAGGTCTCCACTGACCTTTATGGTAAGGAGTTTAGGAAAACCAGCTGTCTTTGCAGCCATACTTCATCAACAGGAAATCTTCCTGTGCATCTGCTGTGGAGGGAGGGCGAGGGCGACAAACACAGCATGGAAGGAGGTATGTCGCCGGGACAGTGTTCTGCCCAAAGCTTCGTAAAGCACCTTGAACAAAACACACTCTACCCACTCTACCACATGTGGTGTTAAATGACCACAGCCCACAGCCATCAGTGATTAAAGGAATATCAACTAAAAAGCACAAGCCATTGCTCTACCTGGGCAAACTGAGAACGCTCTCCAGAGAGAGACATCTTCTGGTCTTTACCAACTTTTTGGCTTGAAAAAGCAAACTTAATAAAGTAAGAATAAATTATAAAAGTTTACCATACGGTCTTCATTTTAAAAACACAATATTACAGATCTCTTTTGTATCCCACCCAAAGCCCATCCTTTCCCTTCCTTCCCAAGAGGCAGTCTTGTGAATCAGGTGCTGAACTTTCTACTTCATGTGTTGATATTTCTAAATGGTTAATACACACTCACAAACTAAATATAGCATTGTTTATGTGTTCTTAAAATTTATATGAAGAAACTTAATATTTAAACATTAAAATTTGTATTGTATTTATCATGCTTCCTTTTTTCACTTAACATATGGTTTGGAGATTCATCTATGTATTTATAAGTGGTTGATGTCTTTGTTTGTTTGTTTGTTTTGGTATCAGGGATTGAACTCAGGACCTTGAGCTTTCAAGGCACGCAGTGGCAGCACTGAGCTAAATCCCTGGCGCACTCATCAATGTATTTATAAATAGATCTCATTCTCTCATTTTACTTGTAAGGTTCTGCCAAATTTATACCACACTTTACCCGCTCACTTTTAAAAGTCATTTAGGTGGGCGGGGAATTTACCTCAGTGGTTCTGCCACCTGCCTTACAAGCGCAAGGACCAGAGTTGGATCACCTGGTACCATAAATAAATAAATAAATAAATAAAGTCATTTATGTGGTTTCTAATTTTTGTTATTACAAACAGTACTGTAACTATAATATCCTTACTCATATGTCCAAGATATACTGTGGGCTGTGTACCTAGGAGTTCACTGCTGTGTTTTAAATTAACTAGATGATGCCTAATTGTTCTCTAAATAAGATAGTTCCTATATCTCATTTTTATCAGACTTGTACTGTTGGACTTCTTAGCCTTTGCTAATAGAATCAATGTGAAATGGTATTTTACAGTCATTTTGGTACGCCTGTCTCTGATGGCCACCTAAGGTAAACACCTTTACACACGTTGACTATGACAGTTTCCTCCCCTGCAAAATACTTGTTCATTCATTGTACTTTCATGAATGCCATGAAGACATATTTATTGCATGGATCATATGAATGCTTTGGTGGTTCTAGGGCTTGAAAAATGAGGTTATTCAGCATTTGCATAACAATAATGCCTTCTTGGACTCACCAGTGCTGTACCTCAACAGGAAATTCGCAGCCCTGCATCCCAATTTTGCTGGTGAAACTAATGCTTGTTACAGGCTACATGTTCCTGTATTAACGGACGTGCTAAATTCTGTGCAAATCATACTACAAGGTCAGGAAAATGAGAGGGTTGGAGCCTCTGATTAAAACAAACAAGCAGGATCAATTTTTGTTTTATGTCTAATAGAAGCAAGAAATAAGAATTTTCTTCCAGCCCGCCTGCTCCAGACAGCCTAGCAAACAAGCATGTGTGTTCACAAACAGTGACACCAGGCATCAACCTTAGAATACCACAGGAAAAGACCAAGAGTAATAAACTAAATGGAATTATTCATATTTAAATACAGTACCACAAATGACTCTGACCTTGGGGAAGGCAAATATATTTTGAGGGTAAGAATTTTTATAACTGTAAACTCGTGAATCTTACTGCTTATGCATAAGTCAAGCATTTTTACATAAAGCAATCTTTTCTCTTTAACTCTTTCTTTTATGTACATTAAAACCACATAGCTATGTCATCAGAGCATTTGTATCCTATCATTCTAAAGAGAAACTGAGGCCGGGCGTGGTGGCACTTGCCTGTAATCCCAGCACTTGCAAGGCTGAGGCAGGAAGATTGCTGCGAGTTGGAGACCAGCCTGGGCTACACAGTGAGTTCCAGAACAGTCTGAACTACACAGTGAGACCCTGTCTCAAAAAAAAAAAAATAGAAACTGAAAAAAATCCTCACCTATTCTGTATGTATCTGAAAGCTAAACACTATAGAGATTCAGAATTGTGTTTGCAAAGAGTGTGAAGGCACCTCTTTGATGACTCACGTGACTGAATTGGTAATTCAAAAAAATCAGTTAACCTGAGATCTTCAGAGTTGGCTTTGTATGTGATTTCATTCTCGTAGCCGGTACCTGGATATATTTGAAGCAAAGGAAGTTAAAATGATTCTTAAATAATAGCAGTGGTCCTGCAGGAGAAAAAGGAGTCTATGAAGATTCCAACTCTGTCCCTCTATCCTGGGCCTCTGGCCTTGGCTTAATTATAAACAACCCACAGGTACAGAAAAGGTTGAAGCAAGGGTCCTTCCTCGCTAGGAACGCCACTGGGCAATTGTTCTCCACCTTCCCTGGGCAATGGGAAGACAAGCTCCTCAATGTAAATAACAAGCAAACAATCAAACTTTCGATTAAGCGAACTTTGTGAAAGGGGCCTTTTACTTTTCCTCTGTTAGGGAAAGAACCCCAAGAAACATGAATTGTCCCTAATAACCCTCACACAATTGTGTGATGGGTCACCCAGCACTCCTATTTCACAGACCAGCTCCCCCAAACCCAAAGCAGTTCCAACCAGCCACAGTGGAAAGGCCTTCGGGGAACTCCATTCTCATATTAAGGATAGCTCTAGCGGCCCTGCAACCACCCGCACCATGCAGCTCAAGGGGACTGGTGAGTCCTAGCTGGGAAGGGATCACTCCTGCCTGGAGTCCTCCCTGGGCCAGCAGTGGACACCTCCCCAGCCACACCTACAAGACAAGTGGCACACGTTACCAGTAACACTGAGACCTGGTGCTTGCAGGAATATTGATCATAAGTCAGCCGAAGTTTAGGGTACAGTCCTGTCATGGGCTTTGGTAGCAAACTCAAACCAAATGAGTCAGCAATAAACAAAAGCAAGCAGGGAAATCTACCAGGTCCTGACCGGAACATCAACCTTGTCAATACCACACTCTACTGAAGACAAACTTATTCCAAGTCAGTAGATACTCTGACTAGGCAAGTAAGAACAAGATAACACAGGAAGCAGAAGGTAGGAATTGGGCGGCGGAATTGGACAGGATTGTTCAGAAAGTTTCTAGTTCCTGCAACTCTTGGTTAAAGAACAAGAAACCATTATAAACGAAGATCAGACATCATAATTACAATTCTATTTTCCCCGTATTAAATACTCTTATAATTTAGCATGAATATTTTTCCTCCACAAAGAAAGTGCATTTAAACCTTAAACAATGAGCCAAAGGAACTTCAGAATACTTCATTACTTCTGAGCTAAAAAGTTATTCTGCTACGAGTAAGAACTATCATATCAGCCTGTCACTTGGGCCACTTTTCTAGCTGGTGGTGAAATCAACTGATTTTTCAAATATTCTAATGGAGAAAAGAGAATCTATGTTAATCGTTACCACCCCAGTCTTCCTGCAGAGGCACTGCCTTCTGCAAGGGTTAGACAACTTGAGAACGGGTGATTTTACCCATGACCACCCTGTACTTCCTTAGATTAACTATCATCACACGCTAACTAGCTTTTGAACTGTCAGCCTACCCTAGGCACTGCCACTAGAATACAAGCCTGGTGAGAACAGGAACCCGGATCTGTTCATTACTACAACCCGGTCCTAAGTGTATGACCCACACTCGTTCCTTGCGTCTACTATCTTCAAGGGGGGACACGAAAGAAGGACTTTGAATGCAATACCTTTAAAATAATGAGAGAAGCAACTGATGTCAAACGAGCCCTTTAAATCGGTGGAGCGGTAATTCTTGCCCAGCAAAGTGGACCTGTAGTGACCTTCACTACATGGAACCCACATTTTTAAGTTGTGCTGTAAGTAGGTTCTGGGAATTTTACACAAAAGAGGTTCAGCAAGGTTAATTGCACATTGTGGACGGCATTTTCCCAAAGCTGGCCAGACGGCTAACTGACCTAGCAGAACACAAATAAACCCCACGCACGGAAAGACCCTGGAACAGGAAGCTCCCTCAGACCCGGAGAAAGTTGCTGTGAGCTGCAGGAGGCCGCGCTCCAGGAGACCTTTTGTGTGCGGGTTTTTGAGGACGCTGTCCAGGCCTCCAAGGCGACAGCCCACAGTTCAGGTAACCGGTCCCTTTTCGTGGCGGGTAACGCAATCCTGCATCCCTTCTTGACCAGACCTGGGCCCAGTGCCGGCCACACGGCCTGCCACCCCCGGGCGGCGGGACAGCAGGCCCAGC